AAAAAAGTTGGTTAGAGTTCTTAATTCAATGTAAATATCTAGACTAATTCTTACTCAGTCTCATACTTTGATTAGTATACTCCTGTGACATGTGTTTATATGAATCCTTAATCTCTTACAAAGTTTTTCTTTTCTGACATTTGAGGCATGATCAAGGGAAGTTTTACTTGAAGAACCTGGTTCATCAGTATATGCTCATAAGAAAGTTCAGGTATGTTTCTATACTTTGCACAATTATAAAGATAAAATTATCAACCATGAGCAGAAGTCCTAATTACACCAAACTTTCATAAATTCTATCCGTTGAGCATTTGAACCAATTTCATTATCCTAGGAGTCTAACTAAAACGGGATTTTTTTCTAAAAACTAGCATCACTCATTTATCTCTAAAGAGACCGGAACTCTAATTTGATTAGACTTCTTATTGACCTCTGAAAAAGCTGCCGTTATAGGCTTAATCATGACCCCTCTTTAAAAACACTCCAAACCCTCTCTCATCACTCATAACCGTCATTTCACTTCTCTAATCCTTCTGATAAACTCTTTTCTTCTCCAAAAATCCCTAAAATATTTCCAGCAAATTATCCGCCATGACTAATCCTCAAGACAATCCTGGAACTCCCCCACCTATTTCCTCTAATACCTCATCATCAACACCTCCAGTTGAAAGTCCAAAACCCAGATTTTGCAGGCAAAAGATGTTAGCCAGGAAAATTGTAGCATCCGGCCCTCTCAGAAAAGCCTTAAATGAGAAATTAAAGGCCAGTCAAAGAAAAAGAGGCTTCATCTGAAGAATCCCACTCAAGCTCTGAATCTGAAAAGTTCATCTCTGCTAGTGAAGGAGAAGAACCTGGGTCATCTGACAATGACAAGAGTCAAGAAAACCCAAGAGAGGTAAACACCTGTTATGTATTTTCTGATATAGCTGAGAAGGTAGATAATAGGTTTGTGCTTATGGGTGCTGTGAAAAATGTTGAAGGGGCTGAGACTAGTAGGAGAAGAAAGAAAAAGAAAGGGGAGGTTCTTGCTATATATGGTGGTGGAGAAGAAGGTGGCTTGAAGTCAGGGGGAAGCGGATCAGGAGAAGCTGCTGAGGGCCTTGTTAAGATGAGTGAGCAACAAGAAGAACTTGGTTCTTCTGTGGAGGAGACTTTAGCAGATATTCTAAAGAAAGTAGGGGCCAGTTATGACCCAAAAAAGCGCAAGGCGTCTTCACAAAAGACCCCAGTTGCTGACAAACCATCAAAGAAAAGCAAAGTAACATCTCCCAAGACTGTTGCTACTTCTGTACCTAGGGGAAGAACTACAAGGAGTAAAACAAGGTCTGCTGTAAAGGGAAAACAAGTGAAAATTACTGAGGAAGAAGATGAGGAGTGGAGTGAAGAAGAAGAAAAGGAGGACTCTGAACAAGAGCAAGATCGCTTTGTTATTTTTAGCAGGAGGAAGATATTGAAGGGAAGGCTGCTGAAAGACCTGGAAGAGGCAGGCATGGTTAGGCTGGTAGATGCTTTAGCTGCACAGGGCTGGAAGGACATGGTCCTTCAGATGGATGGGAGACTAGCCAGAAGAGAGTTGATTGAATTTATGGCAAATGGCTCTGTGGAAAATGGGCTAGTAATCAGTATAGTGAAAGGTGTGAAGGTGGAGTTTGATGCACCAGAGCTGGGCAGGATTCTAGACATCCCAAGTGAGGGCTATGATGATTACACTAGGAAAAGGTGGCCTTGTCTAGATGATCTGCCCACAGCACTCCAAATTACCAGGAATTTTTGTGACACAAAGGATGCTGAAGAGGTGCCTGAAGCACGATTTGTTCAAAAGAGTGAAATGAAGCCAAAGCATAAAGTGCTCTTTGAGTTTGTGAACAAATGTATGTTGCCTAGACAAGAGAGGAGGCACACTGCAAATTATATGGACCTGGTTCTCATGGAGTGTCTTGTGAGGGGTAAACAAATCAATTGGCCTGCCTTCATAGTCAAATTGCTGGACAGAGTCATAAATGGTTCAAAGGCTCATGCTACTCCTTATGGATTCATTTTGACAACTGTATTGGACAGGCTGAACGTCCCTTTGAAGAAGTGGGAAAATGCCTCCAGT